TTTATAATGTTTTTCATTTTTACTAATTAACATAAAAAATCAATATTCCTAATTAATTAAATAAATAAAGAAAAAATGTATCTTTATATTTGGACTAATAAATAATTGAATAAAGACTTTGAATTAACTAATTTTAATTTATAATAAACTAATTAAGAAATAAATATTTAAGGATATTTTCGTCTTTTTAGTCAAATATTAACTGAAAACACTAACAGAACCTAACGAAGAGTGATAAAGTGTCATTTTGAAACTTGATGGGTGGAAAAGTGCCGTTTCATCAAACCTTGGGTGGGAAAAAGTCGTTCTCCCTTAAATCTAAGAGAAAATTGTATGAAGACTTAAAATACCCTATATATTAATTTCCTTTAATTTAAAATTAAACTCTAAAATTTAAAAAAACCATAATAGTAAATAATTGAATCAATTTCTGATTTGAAAAATCCAAAAGAATAAAATAATTTGACTGGTTTGTATTCTAATTTTAAGAAAATTCTATAACAAAAAATCGAAGCCACCCATCTTGCATCTCCTTATACTCTTTTTTCTCTCTTTTTAATATCTAACACAAAAAATCAATACAGCTGTAGCCCTGCTCCGCCACATGCGATGCCACTGTGGCTTTGCGAAACCTGATGCGGAGTTGGTTTCTCTTGTTTCTTATCTTGCTCTTTTGGGTTGTTTGAGTTTCTCAATGATTTTGATAAAAATTTTGTTGATGTTTTAGATTGGATAATGTTTGATGTTGTGCTGCGTGAAATAAATAAAATTGGAAATCTAAGAACTTCGATGTTACAGGGTTTGATCTATCATCTGTGAATTTTCCCTTTGGTTTTCATGACTTGGACCCAGCCAAGCGATTTGGCAGATGATTTTTTTTTTTTTAATTTTAAAATTATGTTAATTCTTTAGTATTTGTTAGATCCATGTGTCAAATTATGATGTGATCAAAGTTTTCTTAATCGACTTGCTTTTTGCTTTTCTTTTATAACTTATTTACGTAATTACTAAGTTGCCCTTGGTTCATGGGTAATGCTACAGTTACCGACTGATGTGTACCGAATGACGTAGCACAATCCTGACCGTTTATTTATTATCAATTAATATTAATCAACGGTCAGGATTTTGTCACGTCATTCGGTGCACAAATTCGGTACACATCAGTCGGTAATTCTATCATTTTTCATGTTAAATTTAGCTGCAATCTTCTTTTAAGTATCCTTAAATTGATAAATTTGAAACCTGTGTCCTTTTTTTTTTTTTTTATCATTTTATGCAAACATTGTACCCTAATTGACAATCTCCCTTAATTAATAATAAATATGAATGAGAAATATATTAATTATTAAAAAATTAATTTTTCATAAAATTAATTAGATTAAAAATATTAATTAAAGAAAATAAGTTAATTATAAATGACTGGAAGCTAAGCATATGTTGTCACAGGCAGAACACAACAGAAAATAAGAAAAGAAAGAAGAAGCAAGATTGGTTTTATAAACATGAACATTTTTCAGGTTGAAGAATTTATTGATTTGAATTTCAGGTTGTGGGTTGGGGAGAGAATTGATTTAAATTCATAATTTATGATATAGATTTGGCAATTAGTTAAGGTTACTAAATGAAGTAAGAAATATATTTTTAAATTTTTGCAACAGTATATTGTATTACATTTTCTGCAAATTGAGGAGGGGCAATTAGACGTTTAATACTGTGTTCTTACTAGGCACACACACATATATATAAAGAGAAACTTTTCACACATACATATATATATGTGTGTATATACATATGAAACTTTTCATAAAATTAATGACTATATACACAACCAATTAATTATAAAATGAGTGTATGTTATCAAGTCATTGCCTAGTGAACAGGGGCGGAACCAGCCCATTTGAGGGTAAGCTTTAGATTTAAAAAAAAAAAAATTACTGATATGTAGGCCCACAAAAAATTGCTATTAATATATACTCAGGCTTATTTTCAGATTTAAAAAAAATAAGAATTATTATATATATTCATACTCACAAAAAACTTGCTCTATATATATATATTTCAACTCCACATCATATTAAAAGTTTAAAACTTTTTTCATGGCTCCACCTGTTTTTTATGATTTTATCCCCAAAATTCTTTACTCTCTCATTCTCTTTCTCATGCTATTCGCTTTTAAAACTTTTGAAGATAAAAAATGTTGAAGGTTTTACTACTCAAGGTGCCACAATTAGCTCGGTTTTCTGTTTTATCAGTTTTAGATATGTGTATTGGTCATTTCAATTTAATTTATTTTATAGTTGAATCATGTTTGTTTTTTATTCTAATTTGATGGGAAAAGGCATGGATCTTGTGAGTTTGTTTTGTATTTTGTGTCTAAGAATGTTTCTGCTTTCCCAAATTGAACCTTAACTATATTTTACTGGATGTTATTCTTTATCCTTCACCCACCACTTTCTTACATTTCAAACGTCATCGTTTAGCTGCTCAAAATTATTAAAGAAATTTGAGTTACTATCTATGTTTATACCAATAAAATTCCTTTTTTTTTTAATTAATTCATATTAAAAGTAAATGTAACGTTGACTTGATTTAAGTTTTGGTTTACTTTAGCTTAGGCTAGGTCTGATCAAAGTCATGAAATTTTATATTATAATCTTTGGAAGCCAAAAGAAAAAAAAAAAGAAAGAAAAAATAAGAAATTTGTGTGGAATAGTTTTGGTGGATTGTGATTGTTATAAACTCTTTTGATTATATTGGATTTAAGAGGATCGTTAATTAGATTCCCGAAGAGGTCTTTGTGCATAAAATTTTTTTTGTGTTTCCTTCTGAATTGGATGTTATTTTCAACACATTTGCTCAAACTTTTGCTTCTCATAGATTTATTCAAGTAGGAAAGTATTATGTTATTTCATTCTTTCTTTTCAGGTTCTTGATATTGTATCATTTCATTTGCTTAAGGTTTTGTGATTTTTTTTAAATTTTCACTAGTGGTTTGGCAAACAATGGCGGAGCCGCAGAGGCCCACCTTCAGCAAAAATCCTAGGTCCGCCACTATTACTGACAGTGGTGGAACCCAAAAATTATGTTTAATGAAGAGGTAGATCAAAGTGGAGAAAAAACATATATTAAGGGGATAAAAAAGTTTAAGAAATATGAAGGGTCAAAGGGAGAAGAATTATATATATATAAAGCCTAGGGTGGGGGCGGTCCTTCGCTGCCTATAGAAGACTACAAAAGTTATCATGCACAAGACAACGAGGCTATTTGGCTTGGTTTATCTACGAGTTAGCACTGTTTATAGGATTCCCCTTCCCTTATCGTAACGACGATGCGTGATATACGCCGCGCATTTAACATAATTAATCACAGGCCGTAAGCTCCTTCCAACCTTACCCATAGCTTTTCCTTGCATTTCCACACCCATCGGCCCATACTTATCTTTTCCATAGGACCAAGGGTTTCCTTAGAATATCATATCTGGTGGTTGACAAACTTTCTCCATAGTCCATCAAGCCTTCTGCTACTCGAATTGCTGAGGCCAGGTACTGTAGATTTCGTTTTTGCAGCTCTTTCTGTGCCCACTCCTGGAGACCCATCTCAAACCTAAACACCGCTCTGTGGGCTTCTTCTGCCATTTTCCCGATTTAAAATAAGTTTATCAAATTTTGAGCTTCTCCCTTGAGTTCTTTTTGAACTTATTTAAATTTCAAAAATATCCTTATTTTGTTTTATAAATTTGACTTGATTTATTCTTGTATATTAAAACATTTATTGGTAAATTAATATTATAATTTTCTTTTACATTTCCCTAACCAAAGAACTAACAAATGTTTCATAAAAGATATATTTTCATAAGCTTTACTCCAAGAAGCTCTTCTTCTATGCTAGCTCTACTCGAATAAACCATAATAAAGGAACCCATCAGCTAGAATTGAAAACAGGTAAATTGGGGAGTGAAGAATTACAAATATTTTTCTTCACTTATTTTCTGAAATCTAATAACAGAAATAGAAAAATACTAATTTTGGGATTCTGAAGGCTGTTTAAAAGAAAACTTCAATTTTTAAGAGATTTCAGTTCACATCTTCAAAGTCACTTAAGCTTTAGAGCTACTTCCTAATTTACTTGAGCACCACATTTGGGCCCAACTTTATCTACTTTATCTCCTTTTTCGTTGGACCCAAAACATACAGAGAAATGAATTTTAGTCTTCTAGTTATAACATCATTAATCCGTTATTAACATCTCATTTATATTTTAAAGTATAATGATTAGATTTAAAAAATGTGGAAATGAGGTCCCACATTGTAAACTCGGCAGGCATTATAATCCATCTGCCAAGTTTCTATACATATTTTTTTTTTTCCTTAGACTTAGATACTAAATTAGATACATTAAATTCTTTGGAGGGTATGATCTATGATATTTTAAACATATTTTAATATTTTTTTACAAGTTTTTTCAAGCAAGTTAAACATATTTCTTCTTGGAACTTTTTATTTTTGATAAAACCTCAACAAAATGAGGGAATTTTATTAAACAAAAAAGAAATCAAATACACCTAAAGAAGGGGACGTAATAAGCCTAACCTCTCGGAAGCATGCTAATACATAAAGATTTAAAAAAAAAAAAAAATGCATATGCCCAAGAAACTAAATGCATACAAATAACCAAAAGAGAAATGACACAAATTATTTTATTCTTTTGCAAACTTGAAGACATTCTACTCACAATCAGGTGTCTTGGTTTGATTGTTTGAAGGCATCTAGAGAATATCCGTTGCGACTCAAAACATATGAGAAACCATGTTCATGGTTGGCCTAGAATTTGGATTGGAATCCAAGCAATCAATTGTTAGCTTTATGATTGCTATCAGTTGATCTTGAATAGTAGGTAGAGGAAGTGGAAGGCGTTCGTCCAAAACATTGTTCAGCAACAAGTTCTCCCAAGTGAAAGGAGAGGATAGACTAGGAATAATATCACTTGGATACTTTCCATTGATCACTTCCAATGCTAACACTCCAAAACTATATACATCACATTTTTCAGTTACCTTCATGTGTAAGCAAGTTCTGCAAAGTGAAAGATAAATGATGAGATCATACTGTGTAAACTATATGAACAACAGTAGAGAGTAGAAGAAAAACAGAGGAGAAAGAACAAAAAGTATATATAGATCGATTTGTTTATAATTACATTTGAGCCTCCATGATCGAAATTCAATGTGGCTCCATATTCAGCACCATCACCTTCATACATGGTATTGTTTATAATTACATTTGAGCCTCCACAATTTATATGGAGTGACCGATAATCTGGCACATATGTAATGCAATCATTAGTACCATTGAAATAATTTTCCAAGTGCATGATCAAAACTCTGTTATTTTGACCAGCATATATAGCTTAATCTTACTACACAAAGCCTTAGTCACTGCTATTTTGGTCAGCTATAGATAAATCTGATTCTAAAACCAATACAACAAAAGATCATGTTAAGCTTAGCTATCTTAATACCATTGCAATACTGATGCTACAAGACAGTCTATTGGTACTAAATGAGGAGACAATACTCAATATATGTAAAGTCCTAGAAGTTGCTGGAGAAAGTACTCCGAAATCAGATTGTATTCAAATTGAAAAGTTTCAAAAAATTGCAAATCACATTTTGATCCAGGAAATCGTACTTACATTTTTGACAGCGGGATATTCTGGGGCATGAAAGATTTCCACTTCTATATGACATGAGAATCTAGATGTGTTAGTATAACATATATAGAGGTAACCTTCACAAGTTTGATATCATTATATCCGATCCCTAACAAACAAAGCTCTTATAGCATGTAAAGATTCTACAAGTGAAGAGAGTTATGATTTTACACATTGTTGACATCATATAAAGAATCAATTCCAGCTTAAATTTTTATGCAGACTATTGAGGAAACTAACATGAATATCTAGAGAAATTTGGCTAGCATTCTTCATTTATTTGTTATTTTTTTTTTTCAAAAATAAAATTGAAATGAAAATAAGAAGTTCTAATTTTGTATTTTCAAACTTTGAGAATGCCTGGTTTACATTTTCTTAAAACAAACTGAAAAAATTAATATTTATGTTATCATCTTATGAAAAATATGAAACATGTTAATAAAACAGAGAAAGAAACTGTAAAAGACATCCTTCACATATTGTTGTATTTTTAGCTTTATTTGTACATGTGATTTTCTATTTTTCCGTTCTATTTGCAAAAATGGATTTGATCAAGTGAATGGATATCACACATTTTTTAAGACAAATATGAGAAAATGAGACAAAAATAGAAGTGAATTTTCGGTCAATCTTTAGATAATATTATTAAGTCAATACGGATAGTTAGGTCATATGTGTTGTTTCTTATGGTGCAAATGTCTGTACTAGAGAAGCTTTGAGGTAAGGGTAATATAAATTCAAAAGTACTGTTAACCTTAAAGAAAATAAGAGAAGCCTTACATGTTGTTCTTTGAATAGAAGCTTCGGAACATGTTTAGATTACTGATAAAACAGTTAAGAAGACTATGAGTGGAAGATTTAAAGGGAACTAAGCTGACATTATGATATAATTTGAATTTGTTTACCTGTTCTCTGGACAACTACTTAGTGGTGTAAATTTATTAAAGGAAAGATCACTGCAAACAATGGATAAAAAATAAATTCATATATCTACTTTTAGATTAAATAATTGTACAATGAATAGTTACTAGATTTAGAAAAAGAAAATTCAAATAGTGGCCCTCAAATGAAAAGCAACATTAGAACTAACCAAAGTTGATAATCTTGATGGGTGGAAAAGACCTTTTGTGCCACAAAAAACAAAGAGGAAATTGTACATGCCATCCCAAAGTCAACAACAAGAAATCGATTAAGACATAGAAGAACAGATTTTGAAATAAGAGAGCATTTTCAAAAAATGTTAATGAAGATGTGGTTGATTACGGAGCTTCAGGTTCAAAATTATTAAATCTGGACTTCCATCCAGGTTTCAAATTATACCGGAAGTAATAACTACACAAGCTAATCACTTAACTCTAAAGATGCTACCAAAGGACAATGTTACAGCACCTTGTCAATAGGGTAGGTCCCTCCCTAAGCTCATCAAATATAGTTTCTTATACATTTAATAAAACAACTCAAGCTCTGAGCTATTAAGGAAGCAGTTGGCCATAATTTGGAGCATACATCAGGTATACCAGGTTTGGCAAACAGCTTGACAGAAGGTGGTGGTGATGCCTAGACCTTCTTGAATTGAGTCGTAATGCAATATCAATGCTGTACCTTGTGAGAGAAGTTACTTCGATTGTTTATATGGTAATGCATGGAAGGATGCAGGTGGAAGAATGGTTAACAGCATGTGCTTGTATAAAAGATATCATGAAGCAACCAGGTCACCTGAAGTCACTAGATGGAGAAGCAACAATTATGTTTATGAAATCACCTCTCATTTATGTACTCAAAGATGGGACGTCAGCATTGAAAGAAATCTCTCTCTCTCTCTCTCTTTTTCTATTTTTTTGGCAATGGGCAAATGAATATTATTACACCCACCAAAAGAAAATGACTATTATTGCCTCAAAATTTGTACAAAGATAACTAGTTGATAGTATTTTTATTGAGTTAAAAAAGAGGATTGGGACCTCAAAGATAATCTAAAAAAAAAAACTATATTAATATCAAGTTGAAAATCAAACCAAATCATCTAAGTTAGGAACATACAGATACTTTGATGTGTCAAGGAATGTTTCTGATATGCTTCCACTGAGCATGTTGCCACTCAAGAACCTAATAAGAAGAATGTGATATATTTTAGTGTGATATAATACTTCACTGTAATTGTAACAGTACAACAATTTCCATCAGAAAATAGAGACTTACATAAAGTTTGGAGTCGTTCTAATGCCATTAATTTCTCCTTCCAGCTTGTTAAAGGTCAGATCGCTGTATAAATACTAACAAAAGTTTAAGGAAATATAAAAGACTGAAGGTTATACGTAAAGGTATAAGGAAAAAATATGTTCTTCAGTTTAAATTTATTACTAAATATGTCACATAGCATGAACACAGCAGAAACATGAGATAGACACAATACAAGTATGATATGAGACAATACCATAGCAACATGACAAGAACATGGTATGGGTCTCATGCCTTGTCATGCCTAAAATTAGGTTCATCATGTTTTCCATGCCTTTTTTGAGGCCCATTTATAAGAAAATACTTCCACTCTGATAGGAACATAAAACATTTTAAGTGGAAAAAAAAAAGCAATATGTTGATTAGCACAAGAAGGATCATGCACATTTAGGCCTTATCTTTACAGTTACCACCATTTACTTCTTAAAATGATATTTCAGCTCCATCTACTCCTATATATTTAATATGTGCAAAAAATAATTCACTTTTATGTTTATGTAACAATACCACGACTTTCCTCCTAATTTATTTACCATGCTTCTTCAACATTGAAATAAATCTATTATAACAAATATAGAAACATGCAAAATTAGCCATGTCCTTAAGTTTAGATGGAGAATTTCCAGGTCCAAGTTACTCTGCAATCTATTTACCAGGAACACACATCTACACGGAAATGCCACTTTGAAATAGGAAAGACCCTTTCACAATAAATGTAGTAACCAGCTATCAACAACCATGCTGAATATCATAATTTTTCAGAGCCAAGCTTAAGTGTTATCAACTCCAATTTTATAACATGTAAACAAACATGAGGGTTATTGTTGTAAGATTTCACAGGTGACTAAGGCACCAGGTAAGAATCATGTCTCTTATTCTTGTGAGTTTACGTTCTTCAAACTTCAGTGATACTGAGGTCCTTTAAGCTTCTGAAAGAATTTACTAGGTGATATTAAAACATACAATATATAAGCATGGCAATTAATATTTGTAAACAGATATAAATACATTGGTGAGTGTAGCCTTACAGTGTGGTGGTTACTTCGAAATTATTGGTGTGGACAGATCCTGACATATTCAAGTTTCTCAAAATCCTGAAGACAAGTTTCACGTAACTGAGTGATTCTGACAGCAATTACTTCTATGATACGAAGCTTAGCATTAAATAAATAAATACAAAGAATCAGAAGCACCAAACATACAATTTTTTGAACAGGTTGCTGGTCAGATTTGGAAAAGGAAACTTTGGTCCATTCATATCAGTAATCCTCCTGTATATAAAGAAGATTTACAATTGTAGTTGAAAATTCAAGTCCCTACAGTTAATAGGGAAAAAGTTGAGAAAGTTCTTCTACTTACAGGTCATCCAAACTTCCCAGGCTGAAAATTGTAGCAGGGATAGGTCCTTCTAGTCCACTTGAATACATTTCCCTTCAATAAAGCAGCAACACAGCGGAAGTGGGCAGAAAAAAAAAATGAGGATCTATCTAAATCACAATCCTTCTTATGCATTTCAAATCAAAATTTGCTACAGATCAAGATCTTACAGCATTTCAAGATTAGTCCATCCCCCAATAAATTCTGGTACGGTGCCAGTAAAACTATTATCACTTATTCTACTGCACACATCAAAGTGAAAGGTATTCTGTTGATTTTAAACTATCTCGACTGGAGGAGAAAATATATGAAAATACTTACAACTTCTTCATGTTCTTCAGTTTTGCTAGTTTTATAGGCAACCTTCCAGAAAAATAATTGGAGGAAAGTTCCCTGAAATTGCATAGTCATGGCACCAAACCACCGTAGTTGTATGATTACTATTCTCAATAACAATTGCAAATGTAATATCAAGTTAAGAGTTAAGATACCATACAGGTTAGTTAAGTTGACCAAATTTCCAAACTCCTCAGGGACAGGACCAGATAACTGGTTTGCTTCAATGTTCCTAAATTTTGTTTTTACTGAGATTATGAAAAGAACTGAAACAATATGGATTTTCCCAGAGATAGTAGAAGCATTGAGTTTTTGAAGATCAAAGCATACAAGAAAGTGAGATTGGTAAAGTATCCCCAGTCGGTGGGAATTTCCCCTGATAAGTTTTTGGCGGTAAGGGAGCTGCATACAATTATTCATTAGTCATTATTCGTTATTCATTATTCATATCATGAAGAAGTAAACCCTGAATTGTGATCAAGATCATCAAAGGAAATTTTTTCTAACCCCTTAGTCTAAATACACTAAGGTCTCTATAGTTCAAATTTCTTCAAAAAGTACCCTTATGTTTACTCTCTTTGAAATTAAGCATCAAAGGGTCAAGTGATCATTTCTGAACATTTATCAATGAAAAGGGTACTTTTTGGTGAAATTTGGAACCACAGAAATCTTTTTTATATTAAGTCCACGAAATTAAGGGGTCAGTAAAAATTTCCCTTCATTAAACCAGAAAAAGTTGTAAATTTTTACTTACATATTAGTCAAATGCTGCATTGAAGCCCATTCTTTTGGAAGTGTACCACTTAGGTAGTTGCGGGCTAGGTCACTGTTAAGGAGAAGAATATGTTACATACAAAAATTTTCTCCTGAAACAAGTTAAAGTTAAGATGCCAATAAGACAAGGGATATTCAGAGAATGGAATGCCATGTTCTTTCCAGCAGTTCAGACCTCTAACACATACTTTTAGCGTATTTATAATATCACCCTAAAAGCTACTGTAGTATATCCATAACCTCGCTCTAAGAGCGCCTTGGTATATTAAATTATTCATAACCTTATTCTAAAAGCCTATGTCCAAAGGATGATTCAGGTTACAGTTAGCTTCATCTTGTATTCACTATTATTTTAAAGAATGAGAACTCAAAAAAATATTTTTTTGTTTTCAATTACAGTGTATTTTGATAGTTAAAATTGTGTAATAACATATTGAAACTTTTCATGAATAGGAACTTCTCATGTGATCATTCAGAATGATTTTTTAAACAGTGAAACTAACATGTATCTTCCAGAAAATAGAGGTTCTTTATGAACAATTTTTTTTAATGATCCTGGAAACAATTAATCAGCCAAGTTTCTTATTAATTGAGAATACAGAAAACTGTTTCTGAGCATTAAAAAACTATTTTGGACACAGAAAATCTAAATTTCCTTAACAACTAGGGTTTTAAACCTAAAATTAACCTGCATTTACTAGAATTGTCTATTATGAAACAGATCACATTCATAATCTATTAAAGAAAAGATTCCTAACTAACACAATTATAAAGAAAAATTTTTATTATAGAAAGATCTCATGGCAAAGACATAGAGCACAACCTGTCCAATAAGTGTTAACGAGATATGATAAAATGTCCTTACATTTCTTGGAGATACATAAGGCTCACCAATTCCCGTGGAAGCGAGCCCTGAAGACTCAAAACTTTGAGCTTGCTGCAGTTCAAAGAGGGAAAAGTTGTAATGAGGAAAGTGATCTCAATACAATGAAATAAAAACTTCCTTTGCACCAAAGACGAAGTCCCCATGAAAAAAAACTATATCCGATTCCATAACAATTACATAGTTTGAAATCAAATCATTATAGACTGCAGAATTATTTCCTTCGAAATTGAAAGAAAGAATTTGGTAAAATTCACAATTCAACAAGTATAGATACAATTTGAAATTGAACTCTCTTCAATAATAACTAAAACTACAATGTCAGGCCTGCATCCTTATCCAAGTGAAACTTGCAAAACTAAAGCGCCAATTTCATAACTCTGATATAAACTTCTACATGACTTTAACATTTGAAGCACAAAATATCCTCTCTTATTACGAATTAACAGTGTTCAGAAACAACTTGACAAAAGCCGAAACAGAACAAGGAAACGGAGAGACTTAATGGAGTGAATTGAGGTACGGGGGGATTCGAACTTGAGATAGGTGAGACATCATCTAGCTTTACTATCAAGTTAAGAATTTATTAGGTCAAAAAAAATTAAATTATTAACTTTAATATCATGTTAAAGCTCAATTTGATAATTTCATTTTGGTTCCATGCAAAATTAAGTAAATAGTAAATCAATTCAATTTCACCTAATTGAAATCGATCAGTGTTAAATTTTCTTATCAGAACGTACTAGAGATAAGAGGATGAAGAAGAAGAAGTAAGGGGGACTTACATGTTTGTAATGTGAGAGAAGGAGCCAATTGTGCGGTTACAAAAGATGGTGTTAGTCTGGCCATCTCCCGAGTGTTGAATGGCTAACGGGAGCATCCCTAATTGGCAAGGATCTGTAGAATTCAGGAGTTGGGCGCCCAATTTCTTAGCTATCACTCGAAGTACAGCAGCTGAATAAGACTCATTAGAATGGCGCCCCCGTCATTATATTTGAATACAAAATATTATTAATTTTATACGCCGCTAATATTTTAAATGCCCCAGGAATTATTAAAAACTATCAAATACCACCCTACTCACTCAGGGGTTTATGTTATCTATAGTGTTTTATGATACAGTTAATGACAGTTATTCCCTAAGGTTCGATTAAATAACAAAAATTCTCATAAAATTTATGGGAAAACAGAAATTGCTATGTTGTTAAGTTTTATGTGTTAATATTAACAATGAGAGGGCAATTCAGTAAATATTCATTGACCATCAACGATAGCCACATCTTTGGCTGTCGTTGACCATCAAACATGGCCAGATCTAGCCATCAATGACCAGATCCAAGGTGGATCTATTTGGAAAAAGTCATCTCGACGCATAATCAGTCAGATCCTATTGGTCATGCTCCAATACGGTGACTCCAGCCACCCTCTGGCAGTGGTGGCAGGCTGCTAGTATTCAATGGGTAGGTGGGGGTGTTTTTGTAATTTTTAATGTTTTTATTACATGGGCGTTTAGTAAATTAACAAACCTATGAGGTTTTTTTCATATCTTATCTCGTTATTCCCACCTAACTCTTACTTTTTCAAAAATTATATCCAAAATAATAAAACAAATTGACCAGAGAAATTTTTATTATTTTAGAAATTTCAAGGGGTACGTTTGGTTTATTATTTTGGATATGATTTTGGGAATAATATTGGGTGGTTGAATAGGGGAGTATTACGAGGTAAAATTTAAAAATTTATAAAAAAAGCCCCTAGGTTTACTAATTTAATTAAACACCCCAATATATAGAATGACAAAAATATCCCCACCACCTGCAGTGCCAGATTCCGGCCACCATCGTCGGAAACTGGCTGGAAAATCGCGATACGACACAGACCGGTCGGATTTGTGTCGTAATGCGTCGTTATGGCCTTTTTCGGCCAAATCCACCACGGATATGACCGGAAAATGCCAAATCTACGGCCTACTATGGCCGCGACGGCCGGAAAAGGCTAAAACGACGGCCAAAGATATGACCATCGTTTTCGGTCAATGATGACCAGAAAAGGCCAGATCTGACCGTCAGCAAGATATGATCGTCGTTTTCGGTCAATGATGGCCAAAATTTGACCATTTCTTTGGCCATCGCTGACGGCCAGATCCACTGTGGATCTGGCTGGAAAAGGCCAGATCGGTGAATTATTAGCTAGTTCCTGTTGGTAATTCACCGTTGTGGCAGATTCCGGCTACCATCGACGGTGGTTGCCGGAATCTGGCAAGTATGGGTCATGGGGGTGTGTTTGTTAATTTTTAAACTTTTTTTCAGGGGGTATTTATGAAATTAATAACCTTATGGGATCTAAAAGTAATTAAAAAATAGGGTAATATTTCTAGAATAATGTGCCAAACATTATTTAAAGAATAAGATTGGAAATATGGGTAGAAATAATAAGCCAAACATGCTCAAGGATATTTTTTTATCATATCAAACCTCAATGGCTCTATGTCTTTTAACTCTTTATGAGGGGTTTTATGATATTTTATTATGATATTTTATTGGGGTTATATTTAATAATGTTGGAAAATCACTAGGGCCCTTTGGACCCAATTTAATTATCACTAGGGACAAATGAAATAAACCTTAAATTTAATTACAAACCCCATGTATAAATTAATTACTATATTATATAAATCTTTTTTATAATTTATTGTCACTTTTTACCCTTACCTCTTTAATTTTCCCTATTTTCAATATCTTTCTCAATCTCTTATTATTTAGAAGGCATATTATCAATTTAGGTACAATGTTTTATCAAAATAATCAAAAAAGGGATACAAGTTTCAATTTTCTTTAATTTAGGGACACTTAATGGTGATTTACCGTTAACTTTAAAAAAAAAAAAAAAAAAAAAAGTCTTAAATACTTTATTTTAGTTTTTTTTTTCATTTATCATAAGCTAGAAATTCATTTACCTATTACTAAAATCCAATCGTCAAAATCTTGTGACTAGAAATTCATCACGAATTTTAATATTAAAACGACCGTCTTTGAATGATCTATCTATTTATGCAATTGTTAGTGACAACAAAAGTGACACCTTATTTGGATTTGATAAAGAAATAAATATTATGTGGTTGAAATTTTCTCCATCAAATATGATCAAATGTTGCATCCATTGCTATATAAAATTGTAAGTAAGGTTAAATAAATTATTTAGAAACGATTATTTTGATACTTACTGTTTCCAAAATAAATTGAAAAAAAAGATTTTTATTTACAGCAACCAAATTCCAAACCAATTACCGTATTAAATTTTATTTTAAATAAATTAATCATGTCTTATTTAATAGTCTTAAGTAAGTTTATATCTATTATGAAATTTAGGTAATTATATAATTACAGTATAATTTATCCTTTCTCTTTTATCGATTCTCTGAAATTCAATAAATTAACTGTTAAAGGAAAAAAATACCATAATGATTAAATATTACGAATTGGATAACAGCTAAGATATGACAAAGAAGTTGGGAACTATAAATGAGTGATTAAAATTACCTTCTCCGGGATGCAATGGAAGCTGAGCATATGTTGTTTCAGGCAGAATGAAAGAGAAAGTAACAAGAGAAAGTAGAAGCAACAACGGTTTGATGAAGATGAACATTTTTCAGGTTGAAAAATATCTTGTTTTTTGGTTAACGGATGTGAATTTCAGGCTGCAGGTTTAGAAGAGGATGTGTGGGAGATTAGATTTATAATATAATTGAAGTCGTTGATATATTAAATGGATTCCTAGATCTTGTGGACGACATCATATGATGGACCAGTAGAATACAATCGAGATCGAACTCCTTCAACTATCGCCCACTTAAGTAAAATTAAACTACAATGTCCTACCTGCATCCATATCCAAGTATAACTTTAACTAAAACCCCAAATTCTAAAATATAAGTATATAATATTTTAGATTATAAATCTCTACGTGAATCGACATTTGAAGCACAAAATGTCCACTATTTTCGAAATAGATGAGACATCTCGCTTTACTATCTTGGTTAAGAAAGTGTTAGATCCAAAACATTAAATTATTAAGCAAAATTCTAACATTATACTAAATTATTAGCTTTAATATCATGTTGAAGTCAATTTATAATTTCAATTTTGGTTCCATTAAGTAAATAGTAAATCAATTCAATTTTATGTACTGAAATCGATTAATGTTAATCTCTCATCAAAACTTCACAGAGATAGAGGCTGAAAAAGAAAGAAGAAGAAAGGGAGACTCGCATGTGTTATCGATTAAATCAGAGAAATTGGGGAAGAATTATACCGTTTGTTATTGATTACTTCTAGAACTTACAACACTTATATGGTACTGTAACTAACTCCAGTAAAATATAACTAAACTCTAGTCAACTAACTATAACACTTTACAACTCAGCTTAACTGTTACAACAACTCAGCTCTATTCTAACTACTGTAACTGTAAAGATATTACTAATACCCCGTCAAGTTGGAGGGTGATAGAGATTAAGAACATCCCAACTTGTAACAAATATGATGAGTCCTATGGCCAAGAGCTTTGGTAAACAAATAATTTGACTGAGAAGAATATAAGCCGTCTGAATCAAACCAGCCTTAAGCTTCTCATGGACAATATGTCAGTCAATATCAATGTGTTTGGGCTCATGATATATAGGATTAAAAACAATATGATTAGAAGCCTAATTATCACAAAACAAAGTAACGAAGCAAACTGGAGAAACCAAGCTCAGTAAGAGGTTGAGCCAGCAAACAATTTCACATACAGTAGATGTCATTGCCCTATATGCAACCTTAGACGAAGACTTAGAGATGGTAGCTTGGCGCTTGGATTTCCAAGAGATAAGGGAGAACCAGAAAGATCAATAGCCGTAATAGACTTTCTTGTCATGAGACAAGATGCCCAGTCAAAAATCACTATAAGCCATCAAATTTATGGAATTATCAGTAGGAAAGAATAAACCCAAACCAAGTGCTAACTTAACTACTTAAAATTTAGAGCAACTCAAGTGAGACTGTTTGGGATTATGCATGAATTGGCTCACACATTAACAGAGTAAGTGAGGCCAGGTCTTGTCATACTAAATATAACAAGTTGCCAATCAATCGTTGAAAACTGCCTGGGTCAAATAAAAGAAAATCATCAAGAGGTTTAAGTAGTTGATCAATAAGCTGCAGAAGTCATCTTCGAATTTTGGTCCATAGGAACTATAGAAGGCCTGATCTAGAAAGGCCAGATTCAAAGATAAGTTTCAAAACATACTTGTGTTAACAAAAACCAATTCATTTAGAAGACCTGGCCGCTTCAAACCCTAAAAATAACCTCAATAAACCCAAATCTTTCAATTTAAAATTGGAATGCAACAATTTTTTAGTTTGAACAATCATGGCATAATTGTTCCCTATAATGACAATATCATTCACATAGACCAAGATCATCACATGTGAGAATTATCTCTTTTAATAAAGAGAGAATAGTCTGACTTGGGCAGTTGAAATCCTCCGTAAAAAAGTTATGTGGTAAGTTATGGTTCTAGGTATGGAAGCCTGTTTTATCCATAGAGTGACTTGTATAACTTATAAACAATATTGACCCCCTCGGTTTAGCAAAACCTTAGGTAAAGTCATCTATATTTCTTCGTGCAAATCATCTTGAAGAAAAACATTATCAAGATTGAATTGTAAAGAGGCCAATGATGTGCAAGGAGGACCTTTCTACGGTTACAAGTGTTATTGTTCACCTGCTCCTCTCCTGTGAGTTGGATGGGAACGGGAGCATCCTGACTGGCAAGGATCCACATTCGGATTCACGAGTTTAGAGTTCAATGTCTCAGCAATGTCTCCATAAGGCTCATAGAAACGGAATGGCGCCCCAATTGTTAATTTTTTTTAATTATCTTAAATTATTTTTAGTAATAATTATAATATGCATATAATTAATTATAAAATGTTTTTGTGAAATGATAAAAAAAAAAAAAAGGTCACAATTTCAAATTTTCAATTGAAGGATACTTATTACTTAGATTGTAGTTAAATCTAGGGAGAACGACTGTTCCCACCCAAGGTTTGACAAAACGACATTTCCCACCAATCAAGTTTCAAAAATGATCTTTCACTATTCGTTAGTTTTCTGTTATTTTTTCATTAATATTTTACTGAAAATATGAAAATATCCTAAATATTTTACTTTATAAATTTTTATTATTTTTAATTAGCCAAAAAGTCAAATATTAAAAATTCAAAAAAAAAAAAAATAGTTAACCTCACCTAAAAAGTTAGGAGTATTCTATAAAATTGTTTAAAGTTAAATAATCTTAGTATTTATTTATAATGTCATCAATATCACATCACTATTATTTATAATGTTTTTCATTTTTACTAATTACATAAAAATCAATATTCCTAATTAATTAAATAAATAAAGAAAAAATGTATCTTTTATTTGGACTAATAAATAATTGAATAAAGACTTTGAATAACTAATTTAATTTATAATAAACTAATTAAGAAATATATTTAAGGATATTTTCGTCTTTTTAGTCAAATATTAACTGAAAACACTAACAACCTAACGAAGAGTGATAAAGTGTCATTTTGAAACTTGATGGGTGAAAAGTGCCGTTTCATCAAACCTTGGGTGGGAAAAAGTCGTTCTCCCTTAAATCTAAGAGAAATTGTATGAAGACTTAAATACCCTATATATTAATTTCCTTTAATTTAAAATTAAACTCTAAAATTTAAAAAAACCATAATAGTAAATAATTGAATCAATTTCTGATTTGAAAAATCCAAAAGAATAAAATAATTTGACTGGTTTGTATTCTAATTTTAAGAAATTCTATAACAAAAAATCGAAGCCACCCATCTTGCATCTCCTTATACTCTTTTTTCTCTCTTTTTAATATCTAACACAAAAAATCAATACAGCTGTAGCCCTGCTCCGCCACATGCGATGCCACTGTGGCTTTGCGAAACCTGATGCGGAGTTGGTTTCTCTGTTTCTTATCTTGCTCTTTTGGGTGTTTGAGTTTCTCAATGATTTTGATAAAAATTTTGTTGATGTTTTAGATTGGATAATGTTTGATGTTGTGCTGCGTGAAATAAATAAAATTGGAAATCTAAAACTTCGATGTTACAGGGTTTGATCTATCATCTGTAATTTTCCCTTTGGTTTCATGACTTGGACCCAGCCAAGCGATTTGGCAGATGATTTTTTTTTTTTTAATTTTAAAATTATGTTAATTCTTTGTATTTGTTAGATCCATGTGTCAAATTATGATGTCAAAGTTTTCTTATCGACTGCTTTTGCTTTTCTTTTATAACTTTATTACGTAATTACTAGTTGCCCTTGGTTCATGGGTAATGCTACAGTTACCGACTGATGTGTACCGAATGACGTAGCACAATCCTGACCGTTTATTTTTTATCAATTAATATTAATCAACGGTCAGGTTTGTCACGTCATTCGGTGCACAATTCGGTACACATCAGTCGGTAATTCTATCATTTTTCATGTTAAATTTAGCTGCAATCTTCTTTAAGTATCCTTAAATTGATAATTTGAAACCTGTGTCCTTTTTTTTTTTTTTATCATTTTATGCAAACATTGTACCCTAATTGACAATCTCCCTTATTAATAATAATATGAATGAGAAATATTATTAATTAAAAAAATTAATTTTTCATAAAATTAATTAGATTAAAATATTAATTAAGAAAATAAGTTAATTAAAATGACTGGAAGCTAAGCATATGTTGTCACAGGCAGAACACAACAGAAAATAAAAGAAAAGAAGAAGAGCAAGATTGGTTTTATAACATGAACATTTTCAGGTTGAAGAATTATTGATTTGAATTTCAGGTTGTGGGTTGGGGAGAGAATTGATTTAAATTCATAATTTATGATATAGATTTGGCAATTATTGGTTACTAAATGAAGTAAGAAATATATTTTTAAATTTTTGCAACAGTATATTGTATTACATTTTCTGCAAATTGAGGAGGGGCAATTAGACGTTAATACTGTGTTCTTACTAGGCACACACACATATATATAAAGAGAAACTTTTCACACATACATATATATATTGTGTATATACATATGAAACTTTTCATAAAATTATGACTATATACACAACCAATTAATTATAAATGAGTGTATGTTATCAAGTCATTGCTAGTGAACAGGGGCGGAACCAGCCCATTTGAGGGTAAGCTTTAGATTTAAAAAAAAAAAAATTACTGATATGTAGGCCCACAAAAATTGCTATTAATATATACTCAGGCTTATTTCAGATTTAAAAAAAATAGAATTATTATATATTCATACTCACAAAAAACTTGCTCTATATATATATATTTCACTCCACATCATTAAAAGTTTAAAACTTTTTTCATGGCTCCACCTGTTTTTTAGATTTTATCCCCAAATTTCTTACTCTCTCATTCTCTTTCTCATGCTATTCGCTTTTAAAACTTTGAAGATAAAAATGTTGAAGTTTTACTACTCAAGGTGCCACAATTAGCTCGGTTTTTTCTGTTTATCAGTTTTAGATATGTGTATTGGTCATTTCAATTTAATTTATTTTATAGTTGAATCATGTTTGTTTTTTATTCTAATTTGATGGGAAAAGGCATGGATCTTGTGAGTTTGTTTTGTATTTGTGTCTAAGAATGTTTCGCTTTC